GCTGACTCACATCCACTAATTAAAAATACAACTTAGCTGATGCAAACAGAAAAAGAAGTTTATTAAATAAATAAATAAAATAGTGGCTGTTAACACTAAACATATAAAGAAGTAAAGGTTAGCAGAAGCTAGCACTAACTATTACTTGCTAACTGCTAAAAAGACTGTCACTCACTCATTAATTTATAATCCACTAGCTAAAGCTTTAGCTTTGCTAATGCTAAACTGTTAAATATGTGTAAAAATACTACACTATTGGCTAAGACTACTCTCAGTCTGCGTCACACATCTCCATCTGGGAGCTGGAGACTGGTGGGACTGACACAACCCTGCTGACATTAGTTAGTGAAAATATTATTTCTGTACTTAGCTTTCAGCTGGTTAACAGAACCAAGCTCACCACTGCCTGCACCTTTGTGGCCTCTTCTTGTATTTTCACTGTTCCACCTGTCATTCACACACAGGTATGCTTGTCTTGCTATTGTGGACTTTTATTCCTCTTCTGTCAAGCGAGCACCTCCACCTCTCCAAGTTCTCCTCCACCTGTTTTTTTTTTCTGTTCTCACAGTCTTGTACCAGTCAYCACAGCTACTCTCTTAGCATCCTGCAGTTTGCTTTGTCTAAATACACACAGACTCATTAAAGTTTCTCTACTTCTCCAACAGCATCCTCAAAAGAAAGATGTCGTCTGTGGTTTTGTTTCTTGACATAAAACCAGAAAGAAATTCACATCTCACCTCATCTGTGTGAGGAAATGCTGCAAAGGTTGGTACATAAAAAATGTAACARTTCTTTATATCTGATGTGTTATAATGTTCAGGGTTCACCATCAGTGCAGAGGGTGTGATGCTCTGATTTATGTCTGGTTCTTATACTAACAGGTTGCTTCTCTGTATGTATTTAAGGTAGGGCGTGCCTCTGTGCTGCCAAGCAACACAAGCACTTAGACAAAAGRTAATACTAAAGCTGAATACATTGATTTAATTCATATTATAAGCTGCTAAAGATGTATTGAGTAGCTGAATATACA